GCACTTGCGGTTTTTAACAAGAAGTCGAAAATATCACTTTTTACCAAAAATAACAAAAATATTTACCAAAATTAGAAAATTGAAGATATCATCATGAAATGAACAAATCTGAGAGAGGTCTACCCAAGGTACATATACACCAAGTATCAAAGCATTCAGAAGAAGTCGAAAAAGTAAAACATTGACACGGACGACGCCGCGGGACAATCACTCATATGATAAGCTCCGTTCGACAAAGTCGACAGCGGAGCTAAAAAATCATAATACAGTGTACATATTTTTTTTCATCTATGTCATATTTACTTGTGCTTAATCTGTTTGTACGTGATATGTTACAAGTTAAACTACATTTTTGAGATCAGAACAAAATTGATTACAACATCACGTGTTAATGTATGTGACGAAATTTCTACAAGAACTGTGTTTTTGCGTTTGGGAGAATGCATTATGAAACTCATAGTTGAGAAAGTATACCAAATTTATAATTATTATTTGCATGTGTGGGCAGCATTTGTTGAAAACATATTTACTTTAGGACCAAGAAAAACTGCAACTGAATAAATCAAAGTGAAAAATAGAGAGCAGTTAGAACATTTATCATCATGAACTGGTCTGGAGATTCTTGTTGTCATGACAACTTACCTGTGAGATACCCCTGTATTGAGGAATCACTGATGAATAAATCATGTTTCTGGTCTTTAAAAGAATTCCAAACATCAGATTTATCCAATAAGTTATTTATCTAAACAGGAAATAAAACAAGACATAATAAACAGTTATAATCGTCTCATGAAAGAACAAATAGTGTTTGTTAGGATTACGAGATTCCGATAAAAAAAATTGTTTAAAGTGATCATAAAATTACCTCTTCTCCATGTGCAATACTGAGTGACATTACTTTTAAAGTTTTCACGATCTGTGCTTTTGTAGCAGCAGGATTGTCTATCATCTCTAACCCAGAGTCCAATAACCTGAGTAGAATTGGCACCAAGTCAACTCTCAATGCCTAAATACAAAGAAGTAAATATGATGATATACAACTATGATGAACATTTCTATGCAATGCATGGGTGTTAAATCCTTGAAAACAACTTTCAAGTAGTCCCAATTTAAAGAGAACAATAGCAAAAAAAATAATTGGAGTAAGTTGATTTCAAATAGTAACAGAAAATGTGTTGATATGCAAATGACCTAATTACTATGCAAAGTAAGAACAGATAAGAGATAAGTGGCAAAAGCAATGATTATATACAAAAAATCAATTTAATATGCACATACTAAAATAGAACTACTTTGTGGAGGAAGGTTATACAAAAGCTAACAATACTAGTAAAAGCATTGACATGCAAATTAACTTTAATATCTTTAGACAAAACATTAAAACAAATATATGTACATGTATGTGAAAAAGACAAAAATCAACAAGTCATTGTCAATGACACGTCCCCGTTCCGTTCATATTTGAGTGACATATACATTCAAAGCAGATCATGACCGAAATGCACCTGCATATGTACAACACATTGTTCTAAATCTGAACAAAATTCATCCATGCATGACTGAGATCAGGTTCCGGAATTGTGAAAATACGCGATTTTGATGCATTTTCGGCCTTAAAATGGCCATCATTCAGCTATTGTTAAGCGGATCATGAAACAAATGCACATATCTATTTGTGACATGATGTACCATGTGTGTGTGAAGTTTGAATTTGATCAATCCAGACATGTCTCGGATACGAATCCAGAACTGAATTCTTTAAAACAAAATGGCCGCCAGTCGGCCATTTTGAACTTGATCCAAAAAAAAATAAATAACGAGCATCAAGGTCCTATTATGTTTAATGTATGTACCAAATTTGACTGAAATCCGTCCATGCATAACTGAGATCCGGGTCCGGAATGGTGAAAATGTGCGATTTCAATGCATTTTCGGCCTTAAAGCGGCCGCCATTTGGCTATCATTAATCGGATCATGAAAAAAATGCATGTGCATATGTCCCATATAATGTGTGATGTATGAGTGAAGTTTAAACTTAATCGGTCCATGCATGTTCGAGATACAGGTGATCACGGACGCACGCACGCACACAGGGCAAAACATAAGTCCCCGTTTTTGAACTACATCCGAACGGGGACTAACAATAGAAAGTGTTGGTGATATGGTGTTGGTGATTTAATATGCATAAAACTTTTTTGAAGAGAAAAGTTTACAATGGTAGTGAGGGGTGTTGATATACATACTACTTAATGACTATGAACAAAACGAGCACAAAACCTTATTGTAAAAGGTGAAAACGATTGACTTGAAAATGAAAGAACTGGTGATATGCAAATTACCTAATTAATATACAGACATTACATATAAGTACTATGTGGAAATGACATAGCAACTAACCTGAGCCACTAATTCATCATTCTGTTTCTGGAACATTTTATGTAAAGCCTCACAGGCCAGTCCAATCATATCACGCCTGATTTTCATACCCATAATAATCTGACCAATACACTCTGTCTGTGCCATGGCACGTACACATACCTATTGAATTAAAGATAAAGTCCATCTCAAATCATGGCAACCGTTGGTCAGCCATAATTAATATAGACGTTACTGAAAACGGGAATGAACTCATTGATTCACATGGCATACCTTGCTGTCTGCAATTTGGAATACAACTTTGAGAGTCGACTTGGGTATGGCATCATTTCTAGAACTCATACACTGGAATATTTTAGTGATGTGTCCCAGTGGAGGTAGCTGGTCAGCTAGAAGTGGCTGTGCCATAAATAAACAAACTACAGCTGTGGTGACAGTCTCCAACACTTCACCCTAGAAAACAAGAAAAAAACATGCCATAATTGTTCTCACCAACATTTCGATGCAATATTTTGCATACCTATTTTTATATTTTTCCATAATTTTCGACCAACTTCTTCATTGACTACAGGCCTTAAAAAAATTTGAAAAATATAGAAACACCCACTTCCAAAAATAACCATTTATTAAAAAACAATGGTGATTAACGTAAATTTGAATTCATTTACTGTATTGTCTGGAACCAACTGAAGAATCATTACAAGTCTAGTCTGTGAATCACTGAGACAAAATTAACAGGACATTTTTATATCACAAAATGGAAATTTTTCACAAATATTTTGTTTCTGCAATACCAAAGTGGTTATTAAAAGCTAAAAATACTTACATCAGGCGCTCGCATTGATATCAACTCCACATATTTCTGCATCAATTCTACCATGAATTCTTTCGGTTTCCTCAGCACCCAGCTGGGCTGGGCAATAAAAAGTCTCAAATAAACACTCCCCACAATCAATTCACCTTCTACATCTGTGTACACCACGGCAAAGTCTTCTGGTAACTTCCACTGAGCATCAGGATTATCTTTCTGCACTTTGTAATGTCTTGAAGAAAAAAGAAGTTTCGAAAAATGCGTGAAAATGGCCTTAATGAAAACATCGCCCTCAAGTGGTCAGATTCCTAGATATTCAGGTCACATGATGAAAACTGTCTTCATATATGGTCACAGCAAAATTGCTTTTTATTTTTCATAAAACAAGTTTTTGTGCTTAATTATTTAAAATTTATTATTTTAAACATATCTTCTCTCTTTGGACAGACTATTATTCTTGTTATTATTATTATTACCATTAATTTGATTTGTTAATTTTTTTGTTTTCATCAACCCCCTACCTTCCTGCAAAGTGGTTGAAAGAGTTAACAGTGTTAGACAGGGTGAGAAATTAAAACTTATTTTAAAGAATAGTTTCTAGTATTCCAATGCCAACAATATATCAGATTTCAAGTCTTGAATACAAATGAAGATAAAAAAATACCATATTTGTTTTTTTTAGTAGTGCATGCACAGATGAGTATAAGATAAATATCAGTAATTCCATTTCACAATAAATGCAATTCTTGTTCGCTTCTAATGAAGCAAATATACCATGGTGATATGCACATACTAATATCACAATATCTACATAAAATTACATAAACACAAAAGAAGTCTGAATAAAATAGAGTTCACTATACATTGTTTTGTCATGTGTCCTTTCATATTTGCAATGATTGTCTCTTTAACAGAAATACATGTTTTATAACTTCACTTAATTCTGTCCCCATCATCAAATATTTCCATGGTTACTGATGAACACCTGTTGCAAGCCCTTATCTCCTTATCTACCCTTGATTTAGAATACTCACTTATTTTTCATACTTTTCACGGTCGCTGAGACTTTCTCTCTTGATTCTTCGTTCCATATCAACTCTGGATTCTCATGAGTACCTGAAAAAACAAAGAATAATCTAAATTACTGTAAACAGCTTTAAGTTTGCAAATATCCCTTTTATTTGCGATTACTCACAGATTTGGTTCATGTTAATTCATGAACCAGCCTTGTGCATTGAAGACAGTAAAAAAGAGTGCTTCAATAACAAGTTCCAACCTTTCATTAGAATTTAGAGTACATAATGGTGCTGGAAAAGTTGAACAAATAGCATTTGAGTTACAACATACTTTTAATTTTCTTTATTTCCAGTGTTTTTCTCTGTTTATACACAGTCACAGTTTAATACAAAAAATTACAGTTATCATTATTGACAGGCATTACGACAAGAGGGAAAATATGATATTGTGGTGTGAGTTACTGATAAACTTATTTAGGGTTTGTTCTCACCTTCAAACATGTGCACACTGGCTTCTGCGCTGTCTCTCATCGCATCCATGAAGATAGTCGGTAAAAACTTAGACAGGATAATACGAACACGAGGTCCAGTCAATTTATCTGATGTCATCTTACAGAATAACTCTGCTGTTCGCTCTCTCACATTTGGGTTGGTGGAGTTGCAGAACAGATGTAATAGATAGATCAAAGCCCCTAAAAATAACAACAAGATTTAAATAACAAAACTACCTGATAAATGAAATAATAGTGATAAGGTTCACACTCAAAACTATTTGAAAACACTCTGATCATCCAAGTAAGTGAAAAATGACATGTTCTTGGAATCAAAAATTTTGAAAACTTCAGAATTACATATTTTGCATGCTCAGTCAATGAATAGCTCTGAATTTGATTTATAAGCTTGAAGCAGATTCACCTGACATGAAGAAATATAATTGTTTGGGCTGTACATACTTGCACTTGGGGAGAACTCAGAGACATGACAATATGAAGCCCTTCAGATTACATTGCAGATGCCATATTTGCATATCATTTGAATAGAGCCCTCTAGCTTATTTGGCATGTGCAAAATTTCAGGCTGATGTGAATGACACTATTGAGACGAGTGTGTATGCAAAATTTGCACAGAGACATCAAACTTTAGTTTGCAGGTAAAATATTTGCATATCATTTGAATGAAATCCCTGGGACAGTTTTCATATAAAATATTTGTACACAGACCTCTAACCTTAATTTGCATATATTTATTTGAATACTGTCATCAAGATCTTGAACCAAATTTGAATAAGGCCCTCTAAGTTAGTTTGCATAAACACATTGATTTACCTTTTGCCATGGCCTCTTTAATAATCTTAGTGCTAGAAGAAAGTGCATGTAATGTCTCTAGTACTGTTAAACGACCTGTAATAAAAATATTTCCGTTTTAATGCAAAATAAATACCTACCTCCAAAGTCAGACAATTTTGAGTTGCTATGTACGGGTTTTATACTTGCATTTGAGTATGGTATACAACATTTAAAGGCCCAAGTAAACTGAATTGAGCCTTTAAGTGCTAAAGGATATTACACAGAAAGCCCAAGTTGTGGGGGTTTGTGCACAAAGTGCATCGGTGTAATTCTGAGTGGTTCATCAGGACAAAATTGTCATACTGAAACAATTTGTTGCACTTTTGTTGAGTATTTTCACATTGAGTGATGTTGTGCGCTACTTTAGAAACTCTTGTATTGTACATTAAGAATATATACATCATTATTATTTCAACCAATCACATTCAACTATGCAATGTATAATATGATGTGAATGTGGTTTGATTTCTCACCAGATGGCAGTGTTTCTAAGACCAATAATAGATACACCAAGACATCAGAATCTGCTATATTATTAACACAGTCTTGGTTGCCTGTAACACCAGCAATCACCTGAAACAACAATTGTGAAAATAATTATGGCATCATACAAACTGAAGAGATAACATGAAATGATTATGGCATCATAGCAAACGAGGATAACATAAATCAACAGATGCTATACCTTCAAGTCAAGTGATACAATAAACCTTAAATTAAGTCATGTGACATCCTGACTCAACTGATTCAATATCATAAAAACCATGGCAATAGCAATTCTCGTGTGTCTTACAGTGACATATTTTGAGTAACTTGTCCAAATATTTTTCCATTGCATTTTTTGACACTTTTTAAAACCCAGATTTTTAAAAATAATTCAGGACAACAAAAAGTACCTCCATCATTATCAATATATAATTTTTCAGTCTATATCACCAGGCTACAATTTGAGGTACACAATGTATGGCAATGTATAATATCTCTGAAAAAATGGTCACTATCCACTAAAATACATATTTTTTACATCATTTTTCTGAAAATTAGGCTGGTGACCCCCTACTTTTTTTAAGTCAATATTATTATATTAACCAGGATACAATTTATGGCAAACTAAATAAATTCTGGATATTTGCATTTACGAGTAGGCTTCTAATTTAAGCAAAGATTGACGATAAATAACAAGAAATTAGCCAAAACAATTTGCCAATGTGTGAGTCACACCAATCTAGCAGGTTACCTTTCTAATGTGTTATGGGTCAATTGGGTCCTCTCCAGAATAGTTTAGAAAAGTGACAATCACAATGATTGGCTGATAAATATAGCACATAGCTAATCTGAATATGCTAATTGTCTATATGCACTGTATGGATTGTTAGTTGCCACAGCAACAAAAGTGCACTCTCCCCATTCTTCGTCACATTAGAATAAATTTACATAGTTAATGAGAACAATTTCAGTAAAATTTCCAGGCAGAACAATAGGAAGGTAACCAGGCTTAGTCTCGCCTGAACTTATGAGATATTCTGAATAACAAGCAGATCATAACTGTGAATGAACTAAAAAAATAACATTCAAAATGTCGTACCTCCAATGCTAGTTGTTGAACCTTGCCAGCACCATGTATTCTGAGCAGTGAAAACATCAACTTGAAATGTCCTATGCATTGAATCTCACAACCTAAAAAATAATCACACAGGATTATTTATTTAGTGAGAAAGCATGCTTCATACCAAAACTACCGATTCAGTCTGTTCAATTATGAACATACCCGGCATTTGTTAAAGATGGACGCCAACCCAACGTTACAACATTGCTCAACTTTGTATTAGCCATCCTGGGACTGAACTGGACATGAATTACACATTTATGACACAGAATATTTCACTGAAATATTCCTGTTGGCGGAATGTTTGAAAGGTTGGAGAAAAAACCTTTTACTAAATTACTAAATGTATGTGCTATACATCAATAGCATTTATTTTGAGAAATTTTCAATTCAAAATGGCTGCCAGAGTGTAGGCCTAAATGCTACCAGGAATATTGTCATGGTTACACCTACCAGCATTATTTCTTATGACATTACTGAGTGCTTCTAATGCCATCTCTACATGGTGTAATCGTTTGTTTTGTTGCGGTGTATTATTACTTTTGTCCAGACCACCAGACTTCAATGCCATCAATGAATACAGATACTATGTGAAAAAAAATGAAGAATTCAGTGTCAGATAAACTCAAAACAGAACACACAAAACAACAGATGAAATTCAAGTTTCTTAGTTGCAACTGAGCACCATGATGTAAAGAGAGAGAGGGGGGGGGGGTGATTTTATAACCTGTCATTCATGAGACAGTTTGTCTCAGTTTTTAACAGGTTGAATTGACATCTTTTGTTGATTTGCGTCAGAAGTATCTTACCATTACCAGAATTACCAAGACATATTATATTTTATCATACTTAAAACGTGCATAAATTAGTAAGAGGTTTATTATGCACATTTCATAAAAAGTACACTTGATGCATGTTCGGTTCAAAAGTGAAGTTGGTATACCAGAAATCTGCATAAAAATCAATTGAAAGGACATAATCAATGTTGAACAATCCCCATTTTCTAACATCATTAAAATTGTCATGTTAAAGATAGCCAAGCATGGTACTCAAAACTTATTTATTAATTAAAACGGCTATTAACAACCCGTTCTGACAAATTCTGATATGTGTTTTCATTTAGTAAACAAAGATGAAATCAGAATTATTATTAATTCAGCATTATATTTGTTTATGACAGTAAGCACCACACTGCTCATCAGTCATGACACAATGTGACATAAGGACTATGTTTTACTGTGCATGAAAGAATACAAAGTGATACCCTTTTGTAGTTGTGATGAGGCTATTGCCAACTCACCTGCGCTTGTGATCCAAGAAAATCTAATAACTTGATAGTGAATTCCTTGGCATCCTAGAAAAATAATAATAATATTTCAAAAATTATTAGAAATAGAGGAATTAAAATGAGTTATTAGTTAATCTTTTATGAATGTAAATAGCCTTGATGAAGTAATCAATAATTTCACATTATGTATCGATCTTTGAGAGACTTTTAGCTTACAATAATTTGTAATCTAAAATTGTATACTTGTTTGAAGACATGTCTATTCAAAGTACAAATTTGAGAAACCATGTTTTTATGAAAATGTGTCAATGATCTTTCCAGTACTATGGATCAACAGCAGGTCCACTGGTACTACATTTATGCAGTAAGTGTATATCATATTTATTTCAAGACACAAGTCTAAAAAGATTATAAATTTTTGTAGTTATGATTACATGTATGTCACTAGATTTCTTCATGCAGGAAGTTGCAATAACTTTCTGAGAATTTAGTCCCAGCGAATGATTTCACAGTATGTTTGTATTGTATTTCATTTCTCCAATGAGAAATATTGTTTGTTGGTGTTTCTTACCTCCAATGGAAACATTGGTTGTTCGTTATACACTCTAACAAATATCTCACCCACAACTAATTCTTTGGCATGTATAGAAAATATAAAGTCAGCACCGTACGACGGATCACATTCACCCTGGAAACAAAGATAAAGTCAGCACTGTACGGCAATGTATATCAATCATAATGCGTTGTGATAACCAAGGCTTTTCAAATGGTCGAGATTATTTATTCAACATTTGGAACATACAAAAGTCAAGTTGCACAAAGGCTTGATCTTGGTACATATTCGGTGTTATGAGTTGGCCATTTTTAAATCAGAGTATACTTGTATGCAATATACTGTAAAACATGTCTTTTTCGTGAGCATGTCTTTTTAGCGAATTTAGTGAGAGAACCAATTCGCTAATTTAAGATGCCACTAATGACTTCATTATGAATTCAAAATGGTGACCAAACAACGTCTTTTTCTCCTCACACACACTTTGTAAACAACACAGAAAACGTAATAATCTGGAGCGCTTCCTTATTACAGTTTTTCTTTGTTTTTATAGAGGTGATAACTGCGCATTTGTTTTGGCAGGCGACAGACAAGTATTGGGAAAACAGGAAATCAACAAACACAAGAGAGATTCGGTAAGTCAACATTTTGCTATTACGTCATTTTACCACAATTCACCAACCCAAGGTACATGTTTTACAGTATATACATATATATATGAGTAAGCATGACTCACTACAACAAAATGGCTACCAGTCGTCATCTAAATTGAGTTTTATGCCTAGTGCTGGTACTGATTTTGATATCTGAGAAAGCACACATAAATGAAGTACGGTAGTGCTCTTGAGATTACACATGTTTTGACAACTAACAATTCAAGAAATGATCCCAGTGTGGCTATAAGATGTAGATTAGAAGAAGAAGGAGGAGGTGATTAATATAGACTGCTCAGTTTCATCTAATTCTGATCACTGATTCTTGTGATATTGTCAATATATATCGGTACTTACAGTTCTTATTTTGTCTTGTTGTTCTCGTCCCACAAATTCCAAAAGTTCAGCTCTTGTACCGTTATCCCAAATCAAATACGGATTCTCTGTATTACTATTCAGTATTTTCAACACCTGAATATGACAATAAAATATGGTATTATGACAACAATCAAAAATTCAAATTTTTAGCATGAATTATTATCGTTGCTTAGAACTCAAATCATACACATGTGAAGATGACCCCCTTCATTTTAAAAAGTTTTATTTATCCTATTGAACAAAAAGCCTCATAATATTTTACAGCAATTTTTCAACAGAATACCAGCTACAAAAAAAATGAGAAAAAGCTACAAAAGAATTATAACTTGATTTTCAGAAAATTCTGAATATTGACAACACATACATCATTGGGATTCTCTGTACACAGTTGTCTGGCTAGATACGCTGTTAACATAGCACACAATGACTTCCGCACAGCTGGGTTCTCAGGAGTTCTATCAACATCATCTAAATATCCACCAAGTCTTCCTAAAGCATGAAAACTTAATCTAGCCAGATTATTAGCCACTTCCTGTGTAGAAAAACAAGAACATTTTCACTAAATTCTGATTGGTTAAAAGATATGTAGTTAAACCATTCAATATGTCTGCAGGTATATACTGTAGAATACTTTATTTTCGCTTGGAATTTATTTTTGCTATTTTTGCTGAAGGCATGATTCCGTGAAAATAAAATCTAGCGAATATACTTTTTTTCCTTTATTTTACATTAAACTCATCAAAAATCATGAAAATAAATTCCAAGCAAAACGCCCAAAAAGCCTTTTCAGTGAAAATTAATTCCAGCGAAAATAAAGTATCCCAGAGTATTCTGAATATAGTGTTTAGTCAGAGCATGGACGTACTAGAGATGGACGCTGCACGGTGATTCACACCTGATAAGACTTATTGTCTTTCTATTGTACTCATCTTAAATTTATGAATAGGCAGACGTACTTTCATCTTGGCTGAATTGCCGCCCGATCTTAGTTTTGATTTTTCACGCAAGATTCGAATCTTAAATTTTATATTATATTGGGTCAAAAAAATAAATACAGACCTTGCCCGTGAGCTGGTGCAATGTTAAGTTTTAAATTGAAGGTTTAACGCAGATCTGTATATTCTAGTCAAGTTTACGAGCATGTTTGTACCGATCTTCTGCATTTGTTAACAATTTTAATTTAATATTGCCAGTAAACCCGGTGTGAGCGGATGACGATTTTTATATCCGATGTTCAATTGAGTGAAATTTACAGATGGCACAAATCTTGAAATGTTCGGAAAAGTTTGGCCGCTGTAATTAGATGTTAAACATGGACTTCTTTAACATTAGCTTTCACGTTAATGGTGGGCTTTCGCGAGAAACAATACTGCTCTTCGTCCTCTTCAGGGACGACTGAGTCGACAGTTTCAATTTCTTCAATATCAAAATCATTATAGTCTAGTTCTAAAATGTCAAGATCAACAAAATCCAAACCTAAACCAAACTTTCTCTGTTGCCTGTTCGTCGCCATTTTGTTTTCTCTTGACGATCGTAAACAGATCATTGCGGGTGTTCGGGACAAAACGAAGATGAACCGAGCTATAATTGGGCGTGTTCGTGATCGTTTCCCATGGACAGGAAATTATGCAGACACGATCTGGATTAACAATAATCTGGTGGCGGCAACGCACATACATCAAAGCGAGTAAACACCGTGCAGCGTCCATCTCTAGTACGTCCATGGTCAGAGGATACTGGCAGGTGTCTGATAGCATTTTTTGCAACTAAGATTGCTGCACGTTTGAAAGACCAGAATCAATTATTTGATAAATTATTGGGAACACTTGGGTGAAAGAAGTCATCAAAATTTGTATGAGAAAGATAGTTTTTTCCAAGAATCAAAGATGTTTGAAAAAAAAGTTCTAGATTCAATAGCCAAGTATGAAGAAGATTTATCACAAAATGTAAATAATATCTCCGTAAAGGATGAACAAATAAATAAAATAATATCAGATCTCAAGAATAATAAAGCTGCAGGGCCAGATGAAATCATCAAAGGTGGTGGCAAAGTAGTGACAGACTCATTAAAATTGATGTTTAATATGTGTCTCCACCTTGAGGTTGTCCCTGTAGATTGGGGGAAAAAGCATAATAATACCATTACACAAGAAAGGCAATATAAAAAATCTGAATAACTATCGAGGCATTTCACTCAGCTCAGTTATTGGAAAAATTTATAGTAAAATAGTTGAAAAAGAATTAACCGATTTGGTGGAATCTAATAATATTTTAGGGGAAATTCAAGGGGGTTTCAGGAAAAACAGACGGACAATTGACCAAGTGTTCATTCTAAAAGGGATAGCTTCAATTTGTAAACACCAGAAAAAGCATACATATTTTGCCTTCTTAGATTTTAAAAAGACTTATGACAGCATTTGGAGAGAAGGTTTATGGTATGCTTTATGGCAGAATGGTGTAAAGGGCAAATTATGGCGTATTGAAAGTAAAGTATCATTTGGCGATATTGAAACAGATTATTTTACACAGAATGAGGGTTTAAAACAAGGATGTGTTTTAGCCCCAACGTTATTCTCAATTTATATGAATGAATTCAAAAAACTGTTAGATGATTCACTACTTGGTGTTGAATTGGATGAAACTTGTATTAAATGGATTGTTTTTTGCTGATGATGTGGTGCATAT